CCAGCTTCTCTCTACTGTCCCTCCGATTCCGCATTTCTCTGCTCCGACTGCGACGCCGCCGTGCACGCCGCCAACTTCCTCGTAGCTCGCCACCTCCGCCGTCTCCTGTGCTGCAAATGCGACCGCTTCGCCGGAATTCACATCTCCGGCGCCTCCTCCCGGCGGCTCCCCTCCACCTGCGGCTGGTGCTCGGCGGAGAATCCTTCGTGTTCGTCGACGCGCGTGTCCAGCTCGGAGAAGAAAACGAGGCCGGCGGAGAAGAGGAAGAGCTGCGGGAGGTCGGAGGCGGCGGAGAAGCGGCGGAGGAATGTGGGATGGGAAGCGGCGGAGGAGGTGTTGGAGAAATGGAGCAGAGAGTTAGGGTTAGGGTTAGGGGAAAACGGGAATCGCGTGGCGTCGCACGCTCTGAATGTGTGCCTGGAAAAGTGGAGGTGTCTCCCGTTGAGAGTGGCCGCGGCGACGTCGTTTTGGTTGGGCATGAGATTTTGTGGGGACGGGGGCCTGGCCACGTGTCAGAATCTGGCGAGGTTGGAGGCAAAATCGGGGGTGCCAGCTAAGCTCATTGTGGCCGCACATGCCAACCTCTCACGTGTCTTGGCGCAACGCCGCGCCTTGCAAGAAGGATGGGGCGAGTCCTAGCTCATACCTCATACCTCATACCTCATACCTCATACCTATCTACCATTACCCAAATCTCTGCTTTTCTTTTGCCTTTTCCCATTTAGGAATTAATACCACACTTTTGCTTCTTCATTTATCTCTTTACCCAATATGTCACAATTGCCTAAACTCTTTCAAAACACAACTCATTCTAAATGTGCTCTATTTTAATTACAAAACTATAAAAATATTTCCTCAATTTTTAAGCTATTTTTCCTTTTTCTTAAATAATTAAATTATTTATATATAATAAATAATCCCTGAAATCATTTTTGTGGCGTAAGAAAAATGAACCAAAAAATGCGTGACGCGTGACACCATCGTTTCATGATGCATCTAATAATCTATACGCTATTCGTGACTGTTGTTGTCTACCTGATTTTTGTTTCATCAGACTTGAATAAAATTAACCTTAGGAACCATTCATCTTGTTGATGCCTGTACGTCTCTAGCTTGTTAATAAAAAGGTGCATTAGTAGGTGCCACTTCTCTTGGAAAAATCAATATCTGAATTCTGCGGACGGATTTTATCTTTGCTTTCGTTGGGGTTATTCATTTGCTTCTGAGCATGCACCAACCGTAATTGATGTTCCATCACATACTGCGAGCATTCAATTTTAAAACCACACGTCTGCTCTTGGTCCCAACTTTGAACCCACCGTGTAATAATTTACGCCAACAACCTAAATTTTTATTCACATGGACAAAACTTTAATTCTTGTGTTTTTGAAATGAATTAGTCTTTAACCATCTGTTACAAGATAGTATTGGTAAGAAAATAAATAAATAAATAAATAAAGACTCAATAAAAAGAGGTTGAGATAGCACAAAAAGGATGGTGTTGGGTCACTCATAATCAATGATAGATATAATAGAGATAGATGTGAGGTCTAAACGTGCTTCTCAAAAGTGACATGTGAGATGGGTTGATGAATAGCAATGCACTTCATTGTGGTTGCTGTTTAAAGTTATTGCAAGAATCCCACGGAGAGAGAAAGACAGAGAGCGAGATAGTTGGGTTTTTGCGTATTTGAGATTCTTGCTGTCTCCAAAGGGATACATTTTGTTTAAACCACATGTTTCATGCATTTTTAATTCAAAAATCATGACATTAGTTTTGTTGTCATGGCTCATTCTTGACCATAATTTGGTGTCTTTAAAATATTCATTAACTAATGGCCGTAAACTTTCCATGTTATTTAAAGCCGGTTCTGATGGTTTAATCCTTAATCGAAGACAGATTTTTTAGAATCTTAAAATATCCTACAATTTTCTAAGTGGTAACCACTAACCAGGTCCCACAGTTGACCAAAATCATCACAAGAGATCAAAGGTTAAATAATACTATACTAACTTTAGCTTAAACGCATCCATAAATATTTTATAATTTTCATTAAAACGGTCGATCTTTGAAATGGTAAAGATTGTGTGCATCAAACACATGTATACTAAAATAATAAAATTGCGTGTGATATACATCATATATGATGTTATGTTTAAATCAGGATTAAAATTAAATTGTGCTTTAATATATTTTTAAAATAAATTATTAATTACTAAAACTAGTTTATATCATAATATATTTTTTTATTACAAATATAAAATATTTAATATGTTAAAAATATTTATTTATTATAAACCTTAATTATAACATAATTTATATATTTAAAAGTGTTTATTTACTTTATATTTCAATTATATAAAATAAATAATTATATTTATTGCATAAGCTAAAATATTATTTCAACCATTAATGTACTTTAAGAATTATAACATTTCATTTAATAATGATTTTGTTAAACAACTGTGTTACTAATATTGCATGGTTATATATATTATGATGATTTAAGAATAATTTTTCAATTTAGCATTACAATTATAATCATTCAAAAATATATTTTTAAATAAAATTAAAATTTCTATAAATGTATCTTATAAACATGTTATTTTTGTTATTTTATATTTATAAGTTACTTCAACAAATAATTTTATTGAATATTTATAATGTATAAGTTAGCTTAGCAACTTTCAATTACAGACCAACTTTTCAGCTTTTCAGTTCCATCTAACTTTTTAACTGCTTTAGTCAAATATAACTGAAATCTCTATACCTAGGTTCCTCAACTAAGGTCTCAATTCAAATTCAACGGATGGAAAATTCAAAAGTAAAGTCCTGTTTCCCAATGGATTGATCGAGGTTATTTTTGTTAGTTGTTTAAATAGAAAAGAAAGACGGTATGTGATTTGCACAATGATACAAACTCTAGGAGGTTGATTGCTTCAACTGTAAGTATGAAGATATAAACTACAAATGTCCCCAACTTAATGTGATCTTGAGTAATTTACCCAATCCTAGAAAAAAAATGAAAGCACCAAAAAGAACAAAATTACTTTTGAATGAAAAAAACTGTACTGTGAGTATAGAGAAATGGAAACAAACTCAGCTTTGAGCAGAATAATCTTGAATCTTCTGTTCCAAACTCCCAGCCCTAAATAATAGAAATGGGCATTGAGCAATCTCTTAAAGCCAGTTTCATTCAGTTAGCATGGAGAAAAGGACTCTTTTTCAAAGTGGTTTTAGCAACATTCTATGCTGTCACCACTTTTCAAAGGATTTGCACTGGCTAGTTCTGAATTTCCCTGTGTTCACAATTTCAACCAGTGTAGTTTTAAGCTTGATGCCAAATGGCCCTGGCTTCACAGTATCAATATTGTCGTATTGTGAGAAGAACTCTTCCTCAGCTTCTGAAACCTTCGTAGTCTTATTTGTTTCCGAGTTTGAACACCACTCTCCTTGAACCAACCCATTAGATGATCGGTTGAGAATCAAATCATCAATTTTCTCTAGAACCATATCACCTTCTCCAAATGGACGTGCAAATGCAGCCCCAGTTTCTAGCATTGTGTCATAGTTTGACATATCAAGCAATTGGGATTCAGAAGGATCAATGTCCCAAAGACTGTACATTAGATTGTTGTCCACAATGGTGTTTTGGAACTCGTGGGAGTTGCACAACACTGTGTGGAAATATGATTCCAGAGGGTAAACCACATTGCTGAAGAACATTAGAAGTTTTCTTGGTAAATTGTCCCATCCACTAACACAGTACTCCATAAAGGCTCTTGTGAGAATCATCCAGGGTGAACCTATTAATAAAATGACATGAGAAACTAATAGCAAAAAACAGTAATGATACACGTGCAACATTCTTAAAACAATTTATACAACGTTATTTATTATTTTTTTTTATGTCTATCTCTTTTCATCATTAGTAAATGTAACTAATGATGTGATGAAATCAGAAAAAAAAAAAGAAGAAAAAGTTGTACAAATATCATTTCCCTAACATCAAATGGAACTGTTTCTTTCTTAAAGTTCGATTATCAATTTTGTTTCATATTTTCATATATTTGGAAATGAAGGTTTGATGTTTGAAGGTAAACTGACCTCGAAATAGCTTGAAAGCATCTGGGGTATCTCGGGATTCCACAGCAAAGAAAAGTGGACTATTCTTTTCATAATGCAAACTTTGGTCTACCACAATTTGATTAATGTCTCGTTGTCTGCATCATGTCATCGACCACTTAATAAAACCTATTTAGATGAATGGTGGAAACATTTGAAAAGGGTTGTTCCTTTATTTTCTGTTACCATGAAGGGTTGGACCCATTTTGATTAAGATCATAATCTACGATTCTTTGGATGATTAGCAGCAATTATATTTTTTATTCCTCCGCCCCACCCAGAGAAAAAATGATGAATAATTAAGAAAGAAAGAAACCCTGATATCATATATCTCTTGGACGAACACAATTATTAATTGTGATTGGACGATTTCCCTGTTGCAGACAGGTAATGTAGGGCTCTCCACTCAAACATAACAAATAAAGGTAACTAATTTGTTATTTTATAAGTTATAGACCTATAGTTATCGCTATGATTATTTAATTGAAACTTTATAATATGCATGTAGTTAAGGAAATAAGCCAGACCTTAATTTGCGGATTACTTACTCGTTCCGAACTGTCTTGTTAGTGTAATGAATGAAGTTGACATATGTTGGCAAGAATGTGAAAGCATAAAGGATATCTGCACAGAAATAAATAAAACACAGTTGAAACTTGAAATTGTTATCCCAATTAAGGCACCTTGATACACATATAGATCTCAACATAACTACACAAACTAGGAAGAGGGCAATGCTAATATTTCTAGCAATAAACTTTTACTTACTTGGTTGGAGTTATTGAATTCATAGTCCTCTAACATTTAAAATTGTCCTCTTAACATTAATACAAAGTGAACTTCAGAACAGAAGTTTATAGCACAAAAATACCAGTGACACTTACCATCCTGAGTCATGAGAGGATAATCTGAGGCACTTAATGTGATGAACCAGTCCCAATCTTGGTTCAGTTTAAGAAGCAAAGCAGCAGCATGCAGAGGAGCAGAAAGAGCCGAAGATCCCATCCTATTGATGGCATAACTTTTCCCAATCACATTCACATTTCCAAATTCCTCAAACACCTCAAGGGATTTAACTGAAATAGCCAAATCCATTCTCTCAGACTCAGAGGAACTATCATCAAGCTGAAGTAGGTACTGATTTCTTGGATGGTATACAGCCTTCAACAGCCTCAACATCTTCTTACTCTCTCCTCTGGTGCCAAGAATCCAATATGCAAGCACAGGAGGGTACCCGTTTCCTTTTGACACAACATGCTTAGGATTGTAGTGCCTCAACTTGGATACTGTGGCATAAGAAACATTTGAAGTGTTCAATCTTGAAACTGTTCCCAACAACACCAAGCATGCAGCAAATATCAGAAGGCATAGACGATAATCCAATCCCCTACATGGAAATTTGGACGTTCTCATTGAAGTGGTTCTCTATGGATGCAAGGAAGATATGAATTCAGATCAACTTGGCTTCCATCAAGAGGTTCGGCACCAACAAAATTTGCCTTTGATGATCTGACTTCGATCAGAGAGATACTGTGGTACATTAGAGGAAAATATCTATAATGATAATCTGTGGATCTATAATTCAAATTAAAGTGAGACGAGTAAGGTAAAAAATCAGCGTAGAAGGTGTGAATGTGATTGAGAATGGAAAAGGGTGAAGGATGTTGAAACTTGTACCTAACGTTTGGAAACTTGAACTGGAAGGTAACATAAAGCAGGGTTGGATGTTTGAAAGCTTATCATGACCATTTCTGAAAACAAGAAACATTTCCTCGTTGTAGATTATGACGTTATATTCAGATAAACTTCTTACTTTTAAGAAAAAAAATAAATAATAAGTTTTTTCATAAACCAAAATTTTTTAATTTAATTTTAACTTAAGTTTTATTTTGTTTTTTCTCTTAAAAATACTTGTAAAGAAATTTATCTAAACATACCTTAATAAATAATAACTTAATAACTGAATAAAAATGCGGTGAGAGGGAGTTTGCATGTACAATTTTTCCGCTAATAAAGTGTTAGTTAATCACTCTATCTCATTGAAAGAGGTAAATGGGGTTCTTTTTTTGGTTGCACGAATTTGTCTCTCTCGTTCTTTTTCTTTGATTTTCCTGAATTGCTACTTGCTCGAACAACAAGTAGGGCATGTCAATTTAACACGTCTTCATGGGTACTTGCCTGAACCCGCCCCAATTTAGATGGGAAAACTCGTGTTTATCAGGTTCGGGTTCGGATTTTTCCCGATTGATAAAATTAGGGGCGGGGACGGGAGCGGGGACGGGGGCGGGATGTTAATACCCACCCCGCCCCCGCCCCATACCCGCTCTGTTTAATAATATAATTAAAAAATTATTTTTATATATATATAAACCAAAATTATAAATATTTATATGTAAAAATTTATATTATTTTACTTTA